TATTATTTGCATCATTTTGTTATTATTGAAGTAATATTAATAATAATTATAATGCAATTAGGAGCAAATAAAAATAATAGTTATAACAACAGCGATTAAAATTAATAGTAAAGATTATAAAAAGTATACACTATACTATTTTAATAATAATAATAACAAAAATAACAGTAAAAATAACAACAACAATAATAATAACAACAACAGTAGTATAACAAAAATAGTAATATAAAAAAAAATTATGGCAATATTAATAATGTTATTAATATTGCCATAATTTTTTTTTATATTACTGTTTTTGTTATATTACTGTTGTTGTTATTATTATTGTTGTTGTTTTTATTTACTCCTAATTGCATTATAATTATTATTAATATTACTTCAATAATAACAAAATTCTTACTGTTCAGTAAGAATCATAACATTTATAATGATAAAAATATAGTAATAATAATATTAACAATTTAGTGATGAAGAGAAAATACTTCAGTTTAAGAAATATTAAAATAATAAATAACTGGTTATTTACAGTGTTGTGTTTTAATATTTTTTTTTTTGTTAAATTTAATAAGTTTAGCAAAAAATATTAAATCACAACAGAAAAGAAAAAAATTAGATAAATAGAAGCTCAGAATTATGGTTATAAATAATAAGTTGAATGAAAGTATGAAATTTATAAGCAATGTTTTTCTAAAAAGTAGTTAATGAGAGCAGTTTTAAATTTTAAGAATGACTTACATTTATTACATGACAAATTCAGTATTAAAATTTTAACAAAGAAATCGCTTGAAATTAAAATTTACAAAGAAATGTGCACTTAATTAAAATGAAAGAATTTGTATTAAGTTTTCAACTCAAGGTAAGTACTTTGAAAAGTTCTAAACCATAGGTTTCTACAATTAAATATTCATCTCTCTGGATCTTCAACAAAAATTTCCGTTGGTCGCTCCTCCGGAACATTTATCGCCTGTAAACGTTTCGGCTGTAGAAATTTATCGACGGTAATTTTGAAATAACATTGAAACAAATCATTTACGCCGATAAAATTTACAGCCTGTAGCATTTTACGCCGATAAAAAGTTTTATAACATTGACCCCAGATCGAAAAAATTTGGTGCCAGAAATAGTCGATAGTGGAAGTGATAGATGCATCGAACCTAATTTGTAATTAATTTCTGTAAATAAATTTCACTTTACTTGAATTCTTGTTTTTCTAATGGTATTTGAAATTAATAAGTCTAAAAATTAACGTATAAAAAAATACGCACCAAATAAGACCTATTTATGGCATTCCATACCTAATGTTTTTCATTAATTCTAAACTGTAACTTAAACTAAACTCAATTTCTTAGTCCTATCGGGACGTCTTTTTTATGTTCCTCGTAAGACGTCTTTTTTACGTTCCACTCAAGACGTCTTTAAAACGTTTCTTTCTGTATTTCCAAATCCAACCAATTTAAGACGTCCGATCGGGACGTCTTAAAGACGTCCTAAAGCCGTCTGCGTGCCCACTGGGGAATAGCTACTAGCTGCTTGAGTTGTGGACGATGATGAGATAGTGAAAGAAGATGATTTTTTATTTCCAACAACACCATTCCATTTTTGTTTTATCCTTCTTGGAAAATTTCGTTTACTTTTACTTCCTTGTTTATTCATTTAAAAATAACTTTATTCCATTTAAATTGAAATCACTTTTAAAATTATTTGGTTCAAAATGAGAGAAAAGTTACAGTATAAAAGACTAACACTTAAACAGACCAAAACACTCTTGTTCTTAAATTAAGTGTTAAAATATGACTTTTAAAACGGAAAACTATCAAGAGTCTGCATATAACACATTAAAATCAAGTTTGTGATGGTATTTTACTGTTTTGAATTCATAAAAACTCATATAACTGATGGTTGCTAAGGCGCTGTTAGGTAATTTATTTTTAACTTTCATGTACTAAATTGATATTAAATTAACTTTTATATCATTTTTGAGACTAATTTTTTTTTAAATGATTATTTAATGAATAAAATCAAATTACCAAAAAATATAAAAATTGATATTTTTCAAAAAACTTGTTTTTCAAAAAACTTGTTTTTCAAACTTTTGTTTCAAAAAACTTTATTTTCAGTTGTGTGCCACCTTAAGTAAAACAAACGAAAATCCCTTATTTAGTAAAAAAACGAAAGAAAAAAGTTCTACGTGTTAGTATTAAGGGGTTGTCCATTAATTACGTCAACAAAATAGAGGGGAGGGGGTCTGAACATTTTTGACAATTCGTCGGCTCGAGATGCAATTGTCGTATCGCAAATTTATTAAAGTTATATATAAATATGTAATTATCTAATATATGTAAATTTAACATCATATATTAATGAAAAAAGTTTTTTTTAAAACATTATTAAATAATTATTAAATAATTTAAGTTAAATAATTTTTTACATTTACATAACTTTAAACTTACATAAATTACGTTATTACATATTTATATATAATTTTAATAAATTTGCGATA